TGCTCATTTAGCACTTCAAGGAGCTGGCTGCATAATCAGGTGAGCTCAACCTAGCATCTCTGCACTCCTGGGGACTTAATAGATTTTATTTGATGATGGTAATGATGAAACCCAATGGGATACAGGCCTGGTGTGTAAATTCTGTAGCTAAACAGAGTGAAGCCACAAGAGGATTCCCCCAAATACTCTCTCTCTCTCTCTCTCTCTCCCCCTCTCTCCTTCCCTCCCTCCCTCCCCATCTCTAAACTAGGTAACTGTAGTTATATTTCACCAATCTATAGCCATCTCTGAAGGCCCCAGCCACTAGAAACTTCACTTTATCAAAACTGCTGGTAGGGCACAACCAGCAGGAGTGTTGAAAGTAGGGAATGTTCAGATGGTGTTTTCCTTGGACTGTGTAATGGACAGGGGACTGAAACGAGAGGCCCATGTTTATGTCCCAGGTCCAACACTTACTTACCAGCATTGGGCTTCTGGGCCACGTGCTTAGTGTTGTTGAGTCACGTCAGACTCTTTGTGACCCCATTTGGGGTTTTCTTGGCAAAGACACTGGAGTGGTTTGCCATTTCCTTCTCCAGATCAGGCAAACGGGGTTCAGCTTCTTGTCTTTGAAGTTTAGTCATTTTCAGTTGTGTCCAACTCTTCATGACCCCATTTGGAGCTTCTTCACAAAGATACTGGAGTGGTTTGCCACTGCCTTCTCCAGATCATTTGACAGATGAGGAAACTGAGGCAAATGGGGTTTAGCCCTTTGTCTTTGAAGTTTAGTCATTTTCAGTTGTGTCCAACTCTTCATGACCCCAAAACAAGCTTCTTGGCAAAGATATTGGAGTAGTTTACTATTTCCTTCTCCAGTCAATGAACCATCCTGAATTTCAGTTTCATTATCTGGAAAATGGACTTGATAATCTGTGTGCTGCCGACCTCAAAGGATTGTTATGAGAAAAGCACTTTTAAACTCTTAAAGGATGATGCAAACGTGAGCTTTATTTCCTTGCTGTGTCTAGGTGTAGTCTCCCTTTGGTGATTCAAGAAGCACTATTCAGCACTTAATCATTAAGCATTGATTAGGCACCTACTATGTGTCAGCCACTATGCTCAGTCTCAGTCAGCAGGCAACAAGCGTTTATTTTGTTAAATGAGGTTTTATTGATGTCTTTTTCATATATAACACCATAATTTTCACCATATCTCTCTCCTTTCTAGTCATTCCATATTTAAAAAATAATAATAATTTTAAAGAAAAAGAAGAGGAAAATATCTATATAACTGATCCATACATATGAAAATATGGACAATGGACAACTCTTGTGCATCTGCCACCCCTGCAAAGGGGTGGGCTGGAGGTGTCTTCTCATACCGCTTCTTTCTTCAAGCCAACTCAACAAGCAATGTTTACTATGTCTCAGTCAATGTGCTAAGTTCTAGGAGTATAAAGAAAGGTGAAAACACCCCCTGCCTTCAAAAAGTTTACATTCTACTGAGGATAGAAGGTGAAGTCAGAAAAGAAAAATCATGGCATACAATGACATATCAATTATCAAGCATTTATTAAGCACCTACTATGTGCGGTTAGGTGGAGAAGTGGAGAGTGCCAGGCCTGGAGTCAAGAAGACTCATCTTCCTGAGTTCTGATCTGGCCTCGGACACTTACCAGCAGTATGACCCTGGGCAAATCACTTAATCCTGTTTGCCTTAGTTTCCTCATCTGTAAAGTAAGCTGGACAAGGAAATGGAAAACCATTCTAGTATCTTTGCCAAGAAAACCCCAAAAGGGGTCACAGAGTTGGAAATGACTGAACAACAACAAGAAATGTGGTTTTCTAAGGCAATGTGCGGTGGCAGGGATCCTTGTGTCTGGCTTAGTGGCCCTGTTTCTACTTGAGTTTAATACCACTGAATTAGATGCCCTCTGAGCTCCTTTCCATCTGTGATTGTAGGATTCCACGAAAGGAGAAGGAAATAGGCCAGGAGCTCAAGGGAGAAATGGGAAGAGATGGAAACTTTCCTGTGATTTACAGTGCTTTGAGTTTGAGGGACAAGGCAATTGTGATATTAGTAATTGGCCAGGAGGCTCATTAAGCTCTTTAGAAAAGTAGGCCTAGTTAATGATTTAATAAAAGATGACATTTTGAACACAGTGGAAATTATACCAAGCACCGTTGAGTTATATAATGTCATAATCTCCCAAGCATGTGTGATTTTTTTCCCCCTCTCCTGCCAAAGTGGGGAAATCTGGAGAGAGTCTGCTCTCAGAAATGTAAACGAGACTGTTAGGCTATACAGACATTTTACATTCCAGTCATTTTAAAGAGGGATCCCAGATGGACTCTTAAGACCTCAATTGCTTACACAGAAGTTGGTGTTCTGAAAACCAGGCTGGCTTGTCAGCTCTGTGAAAAGTTGTCCCCTCCCCCACCCCTTCAACCACCTTCCTCCTTTAAAAATAACCTGCTGACAATTCACTGGATCCTGAGCACCGCAGAGATAATGGGATTTTTCTAGCCCTTGTCTGTCAGGGCAACTTGAGAAGGTATTAGTGTGTCCTTAAGTGAAGAGGAAAGGGAAACCCTGAAAATGGATTGTTTCCCCAAGTTTCCATATGAAATAGAAACACTTGGCAGAAGGTCAGAGATTGGGTGGGGATCTGGGGTGATATTTTGTGTTAAGCCCTGGGTCTGAAATAATCTCACACACATACACACACACACACACACACACACACACACACACCCCATCTTTTCATCCTCTAGGTGTTCCCCGGGAGAACAGCTTGTCAAAGATGGAGCTCTGCCCATTCTTCCCAAGGGTTGATTGGCAGGTAACCGTCTACAAGAAATTCCAAGACAGATTTTTCCCCCCCACACACGTACTTACGCACTTAGCCGTCCTTCTGTCCTTGCAGCTCTTCCATCTTGTAGATGAGATGTTAAATGGGTTCGAAGCACTTGAGATTCACTGCGGTTTATTGGATTGTATTTCAGAAAATCTCTCAGGGAAGCAGTGATAGTAGCTGGAGAGATGCTTCCTTACCCTCATCTGATCACATTTGGGAGTGGAGGAGAGAGGAGTCTGAGCATCTGTAGACTTTGGAAAGGCCATGTCCTTCTGTTTTTAGCTTGGCCTGGAGCCCACCTGAATTTAGAATATTTGGAGGGTAGGAACTGTGGTTTATTTCTCTTTTCCCCCCTTCGTTCCATCTTTGTCTCTACAGGGCCTAGGGTAACACTTCTTAAACTGTGGATCTCCACCCCATATGGGGCAGTGAAAAATTTGGTAACAGTAAAAGGTTTCTGAATGCGCAACGACCAAAAATTAATTAAAAATCAAACGCATAATGAATCGGAGGTGTTTCTGGCAGCGCACACCCCTGTGTGCAACTTCCCTGCAGCCTTAGTTCTGAACACAAAACATGCGCACTTTGCACTGTGCACGCCCTCAGGCCATGCAGCACCAATTAACACTGAATACCAAAAGGGGTCCAGAGTGGAAAAAGTTTAAGAAGCCCTGGTCTGGTATACTTCCTACAGGCAGCCAGGTGGTACAGTGGATGGAACATAGGACTTAGAATAGGTCACGTACGACTCTCCATGACCCCATTTGAGGGTTTTTCTGAAAAAGATGTTTCTCATTTCATTCTCGAGCTTATTTTACAGATGAGAAATCTGATGCAAACAGAGTGAAGTGACTTGCCCAGGGTCACACAGCTAGTAAGTGTCTGAGGCCAGATTAGAACTCAGGAACATGAGTCTTTCTGACTCCAGGCTTGGCCCTGTATCCACTCCACCAGCTAGCTGCCCATAGAATCAGGAAGACCTGATTTCAGAGCTGTGTGACCCTGGGCAAGTCTCTCAGCCCCAGTTTCCCCATCTGTAATATAGGGATGATAAAAATAGCTACTTCATAGAGTTGTTATGAGGATCAGTTGAGAATATGTATGTTAGGTGTTCTGCAAACCTGAAAGAGCCTATAATAATAAGAGCCTGCTATTAGTATATGTGAAGTGCTTAGTAGTAAACCTTAAAGCACCATATACATATATATATATATATATATATATATATGTATGTATGTATGTATGTATGTATGTATGTATGTATGTATGTATATGTACATGTATATATAAAATCTCAGATGCAGCCCACTACTGAAGTGCACCTTGAAACAGATTAAAATGAAATTGGGAAATATTTAACAAAATAGATAAAAATACAGTATGGCATAGATGTTCATTTGTAATTTCCTGAGTAAATATATGGTCTGAAGGGATCCTTATGTGTGGTTTAATGTCCCTGGTTTCTATTGGATTTTGGGGGGGGAGGGGCAGTTGGGGTTAAATGATTTGCCCAGGGTCACACAGCTAGTAAGTGTCAATTGTCTGGTCGGAGACCAGATTTGAACTCAGATCCTCCTGAGTCTAGGGCCAGTGCTTTATCCACTGTGCCACCTAGCTGCTCCTCTACTGGATTTTGATACTGATACACATGGTAGCTTTTTTTGTTCCTTGCACATAGTAGGTACATACTGTACCCACTGCTCTTTTTCCTTATAGCAGCTGGTTCTCGACGTCAGGCAGACCCGCTGCTGCTTGCCTCTGCCACATAGGAAGAGGCGCCTTCAACATCCATAACATTCCCATTTTACAGATGAGGAAACCGAGAGCCAGAGAATAGACAGGACTCGCCTGTGATCAAATGAGATAACAGAGTAGGCATTTAACAAATGCTTGATTCCTCTCACTCCCACAGTGATGACATGAAGTGCTGGGATTTGGAACCCCAGAGCAGGACAGGGAAAGGAAGAGCTGGGCTTTTTCATCTCCAGGCCCTCTGTGCAATGCTTTACAGAGAAAGTGTGCACCCCGGGGAGTAAAGAAAGAGCTTTGAGCCCTATACTGCAATTTTTAACACAGTCTAAAATTGCTGCTGTGGGTAACAATCTTACGACGGGTGACTAACAGTCCTTTTGCTTTTGTCGCGGCTCCTCTCCCCTGGTGGCAGAGGCAGGCAGCGGGCAGGTCTACGTGACGCCAGAGAACCAGCTGCTCTACTACCCCAGCATCACCTACGCCATCATTGGCAGCTCCGTCATCTTCGTGCTGGTGGTGGCCCTCCTCGCCCTCGTGTTGCATCACCAGCGGAAAAGAAACAACCTGATGACGCTGCCCGTGCACAGGCTGCAGCATCCTGTGCTTCTGTCCCGCCTCGTAGTTCTCGACCACCCGCATCGTTGCAGCGTCACCTACAATGTCAACAATGGCATCCAGTATGTGTCCAATCAGGTCTACCACAATTCCCTGGACTTGGACTCCCCTCCCTCCTACTCAGAAGCTGTGCTGGACCAAAGGTGGGTGTCTCAGAAAACATAGCCAATCTACCAGCACTCAAAACTGAAGCATGGCTTTTATTTTTAGTCTCAGCCTGAGATTTCATTGGTGTAGGAAATGCTGTTGGCCATTTCTTTGTCTTAGTTTCCCCATCTAGAAGGACATCCCTCCTAGACACTAGAACCATCCAGCTCACATGTAGTATCATAGATATCAAGTGTGAAGGGGATCTTAGGGACAGTTGAGTCTAACACCCTGCATTATACAGACGGGAAAACCAAGATGCAGAAAGTTGCCCAAATCACAGTGCTTGTACAAGTAAGGTAGGCTGTCTAAGGACAGCGCTCCATTCACTATTCACACTGCCTCTGTCTTTGTGACCTCACGCATTAGTAACAGAATGGGAGAACAAACTAATTGTTCAATAAATAATTATGTATCATAATGTAATGATATCAAATCAATCCATTGTAATAGGACTGAGAAATGGAAGGGACCATGATGGTCAGCCATTCTCATTTTATAGGTGAGGAAATCGGCCTAAATGCTACAGAGAAATGACCACTGGATCTGAAGTCAGAGAACCTGGGTCCGAAACCTGGACCTCTCACTATCTTTGTGACCTACAGCAAGTCATTTAATCTCAATTAATAAAGTAACCTAATAACAATAACAGTAATAATAATAATAAATTTCATATGAGTTAATCTTATAGAGCCAAGTGGCTCATATCAGTTCGGGCACAATGGGGAAACCTATACAAATCCAGTCATTTTTTTCTAAAAAGTCCATATGTGTTAATCTCAGTTTAAGTAAATTAAAATCAAGCCTGAATTTAATTGGGTTAATCTCGGTTTCCCTTAATTGGAATACAAAGGGATTGTGCTGGATGGCTTCTAAGGTCCCTTCTAGCTCTGGGACTATGACCCTATGTTTATAGAATTGGACGGGACCTCAGATATCATCTCACCCAATTCCCTAATTCATTGATGAGGAAACAGAAGCTCACGGTTAAGTGACTTGTCCAAGGTCACATAGGCATTAAGTAGAAAGAAGGATTCATATGATCTTAAGATTAAAAGCCAGAAGAGACCTCAGATGTCATCTAGTTTAGCCACCTCATTTTATAGGTCAGGAAATCTTGACCCAGACAGGTTAAGTGACTCATTGGAATACGGAAATAGCCAGCTCAGCTATTCATTATACTGTGACCCCAAGGAAATCACTTGCCTTCTCCGGTTCTCAAGTGCCTCATCTATAAATGAGGTAGTTGAAACAGATGACATCTGGTGTCTTTCCCAACTCTAAATCCGTGGTCCTGGATGCTGTACCCATCGTTCTTTTCCCTCCGAGCCCAAGCTTCAACATCCATAACATGACATTATCTCTGAAGGCTTGCATCAAAGGTGGTTGGCATCCCTCCCCTCGGAGTGTAGGGTTTCTCTTTATGAACAATGACTAGAAACAAAGACACTAGGTCTTTTATTAAGATTGCACTTCATGCCAATCTTAGCAAGGCGTGGAAGCTGAGACTTAGCTGCCATCCCCCCCATCCTGCGGATTACACAGCAACGGCCCTGTGACAAGAGAACATATAAAATGGCCGGTCTTTGGTCCCATCACCTGAATTCTAGCCCTGCCTGAGATGCTCTTGCTATGTGGCCCCTCCATTTCACGGGGAGGGAATTATGTCTTGAGAGCCTGAGTTTAATGGGACAGGTCATATCCCTGTTGAATTACATCATGCAGAGGATGTGATTTTGGCCCTGCCTAGAAAACCATAAGGAGACAGGATGGAATATCCTCCTCTGTTGCCTGAGTTGTAGTGTTTCCAAACCGCTGTAACGAACCAATCCTTGGGATCATCTTTTCCATAAGGAAAGATCAATCGACAGGTATCAATGAAGCACTTACTACATGTCAGGCTGGGCCTGCCCTCAGGAAGCTTGCAGTCTTCTGGGGAGAAAGCATGTCAGTTACTAGATATATGCAAGGTACATACAGAGTAGAGGGAAGGTAGCCTTACAAGAAAAGGCTTAAGTGACTGGGGGGACTTGGAAGGCCTCTGCAGAAGGTGGCAATTGAGCTGAGTCTTTATTTTATTTTATTTTTTTGGCTAGGCAGTAGGGTTAAGTGACTTGCCCAAGGTCACACAGCTAGTATGTGTTATGTGTCTGAGGTCAGATTTGAACTCAGGTTCTCCTGAATCCAGGGCCGGTGCTGTATCCGCTGCACCACCTGACTGCCCTCTGAGCTGAGTCTTAAAAGAAATCAGGAGAGGGTCCCCTATTTCTCCTTTTAGGACAGCTTGAAATGAATGCTTCCGAAGAGGAGCATCCTGTTGCTGGTATCACAGTCTCTGATTTATTCTTCCTCCCGCCCTTCTCTTTCTTCTTCCCCTTCTTCTCCCCTTCACAGCAGACCCCCGTGGTTTGACCTCCCTCCTCCCCCTTATTCTTCAGAAGGTGACTCCTTGAGTCAGACAGAGCTGCCCCCCTACCGCTCCCGGGCCGGGAGCGCGGCAAGCTGCAGCCCCGCAGCAGATGGTGGCCTTCTCAGTGTCGCCAGCAGTCAGCCCCAGGATGGCAGCAGCGACCCTGAGCACCCTCATCCATCTTCGGAGAGAACACCAGAGCCAAGTGACTCACTGCTCCGCTCAGGCACGCTGGGGGGCCGATAAAAGTCCAGTCTTTTTTTAAAGTCCACATGGGTTAATCTGCTGTGGCTTGTTACCATTTTGCCATCTTTGTGCTTGTGGTTGGCCTTTGGTCCTTAGACGATCACAAGGGGATGGATCAGAGGGACTTGGAGGAGGAAGATGGGGCATTTTTCCAAGGATCCCAATTGATAAGATTTGTATTTTGCCATTCGGTTACTGTTGCATTATTTCCTCAGGCTCCCATGATCATAAGACTCCCTATTCATGATGCTTCTGTGGCTCCCCCTACCCTCTCTGTCTCTCCCCTTTTTCCTCTCTTCTCTGTCTCTGTCCTTCCTCCCTCTCTCTGTCTCTCCTCTCTCCCTCCCTCTCTCTGTCTCTCTCTCTCTCCCTCTCTCTCCTCTTTGTGTCTCTGTTTCTCTCTCTCTCTCTGTTTCTCTCTCTGTCTCTGTCTCTCCCTCTCCCTCTTCCTCTCCCCCTACCTCTGTTGTGGTTTTTGGAGTATCTTGAATTTGCTGACAGAGAGAGAAAACAGTGTTTTAAAATACTTTTGAAGAACAGTGTCTTGGTATGGTTTTGTCTGATCCAAAGACCAGGATGAGATAGTGTGTCCTAATGCTACTTAATACTGCTGTGTGCTTCGGATCAGAAGAGGGAGGACATAGTGGCCAGGGAGACTCTGTAAAACTTCCTCGGAAGATATCAGTGGCAAGCTGGGATGTGGCGAACCTCTAAAACACTTAACTTTTTGTGTGTCCTGGACCCCTTTGTCAGGATTCCTTTTCAGAATCCTATTTTTAAATGCATAAAATAAATAGTAATAATAGCTACCATTTATATGGTGCTTTGAGGTTTACAAACAAGTTCTTATTTGACCCTCGAGGTAGATAATGTTATCCCCATTTTGCAGATGATGAAACTGAGGCAGATAGCAGTAAAACAACTCACCTAGGGTCACACAGCTAGTATCTGAGGCCAGATTTGAACTTGGGTCAATCCTGATATCCAGTCTTCTCTCCATTGCACCACTTAGCTGTTATACATTTTTTGCCAAATAAAATACATAGGATTATAAAGGAAACCAGTTGTCTTGGAATAGTTATCAAGACATTTTTTTTTTTAGTGAGGCAGTTGGGGTTAAGTGACTTGCCCAGAGTCACACAGTTAGGAAGTTTTATATGTCTGAGGTCAGATTTGAAATCAGGTCCCCCTGACTCCAGGGCTGGTACTGTGTCCACTGCACCACCAAGCTGCCACTTCAAGACATATTTTTAAAAAAACCAACTCACTGACCTCAGGTTAAGTAGTCTAAAGATGCTCAGGTTTTTCCCTAGGCCCTCTAGCCTGGGATGCTGCACTTACAGAGTGGGGCTAAATGGAGTGGTCCTTGGAGGGGCGCTGAATGAGAGTCAGCCCCGAATCAATTCCAGCTTGGGCCTCCTCTCCCAAAGGTCCCATTGACCTCCTCACACCATGCAGCTCCAGCGCCTAAAGTGTGTCCTCTGATCCTGATATGGTGAAAGGCAGGGAGCGAGTGCCAACATAAAGCTCCCATAGTCTCTCATCCCATCCTGGGCAGGTCCCCCCTCTGTGCTGAGCTTGGAGAAAGCGAGACTCCTACTTGCGTCAGCTAAAAAGTTAGCTTTGCCCCCGTCTGCCTCACAGTAATCACAATGATCATAACTCATAAGAGACAGGATGGTGTGGTAGATAGAGAGCTGACTTTGGAGTCAGCAAGACCTGAGTGCAAAGCCTGCCTCTCCTCCCATATGGGATGTGTGGCCTTAAGCAAGTCACTTCTCAGTGCCCCAGACAATCTTCAAAGACTATAAGTTGTAGCTTAGGGGCCAAGTGATATTTTAGGAGGTGGGGGTGAGGGTGTCCTTCTCCAGGAATTTCCCACAGTGATGAATTCACAGGTCCGAATTTTTTTTTTAACAGAAAGAATGAAAGAAATAAAACCTGATACTTTGTATTTTAAAGATTTCAAAGTGCTTTATGTAGATGATTTCATTTGGTCCTCACAACAACGCTCTGAGGAAGCTGCTACGAGTATTATTATCCCCATTTACTGATGGGAAAACTGTGGCTCATGGGGGTTGAAGTGATTTGTTTGTGGTCATATAGCTAGTAAGCGTCCATGGTGGGATTTGAACCAAGGTCTTCCTGGCCCTAAGAGCACTGCTGTTATCCATGACATTCAACTGTCTCTCTCTCTCTATCACAGTCAGCCCAGGCTTCTGTTCCAAACCCATATCCATGATTAAAAATATTGCTTTGAAGACTCATATATTGACACCTGATTACAATAGCCTTAAGAATGTCTTAGTTTTAAACTCTCTTTCGAGCCAGTTAATATTAGAATGTAAGCTCTTTGAGGGCAGGGACTATTGAGTGTATGCCTTCATATCCCCTCCACACCCAGACCAGTGCCTGGGCCCTAGTTGGCACCTAATAAACTGTTTGTTGATTTGAACTGAACTGCTAATCCCAGGTAGAGGGGTGAGCTGTCATCGACACCACAGCACCGCTTCATTCCCAGAGACTGTCTGTCCCTTCTCAGGCCACCAGACACCTCTCAACGTGGGAGCGTTTTCCTCCTTTGGAAGGTGTAAGCAGCAGGCAGCAAATGGTTTGAGTCAACCGTGCCCCATTTTGGACTTCTTCCCAACCCCGCCCCCAACGTAGGCCAGAAATACATTTAAAATGGTGTGTTTGTGTTTTCCCTTCTAGTTAAGGGCCTATTTATATGTGTATAGGAAAGGTGTACTTTTTTTTAAATGCGGTCCAAAGAGAGACAGATGCAAAAGGAGATTGTGCCTTTTTCATCTATAAACCTTTGGTAACAAGCCACACTCGACTAACCCACGTGCTAGGAGTTTGTGCACTTAACGCACTTTGGGGGCTGTTATTTATCATATTCTTGAAGGAAGCAGAAACAGAAGAATGTTCCTCTCTCTGTTCCGAGGCGCTGTGCCGGTAGGCTTTTGACCTTGACTGTGGACTGAGGAGGGAGGCAGAGGGGGCTTAGGGAGGAGAAGGAAGTGGATCTCCATGCCAGAATAAAGGGAGAATTGTCTATCCACCTCCTGAGAGAGCCCTCTGCAACATTTTGTCAAGTCACACTGATGTCTGTTACAACTGGAACTGAGCAGCGACGTCTTGGAGAAGCTCTGAGCCAGACCCTCACTCACCCGTGGGCTCAAGGAATGGCAAATGGTGTGTTTGATCCAGAAAACTTATTAAAATGTTAACTACAGGTGATGAGGGAGGGATGGGGCTGAGAGGGGAAGTTTGCTGGATTGACCTTGTTCTGAAGCAAGTGATTTTGAGGTACTCATAAAAGAACTAGCTACACACTCTGGAATTTTTAATAAAGGACAACTAGCCGTGTGTCTTTCTTTCTGAGATAGCATCATAGTAATTTTGTCTATAGCCCAGTGATTAAAAAAAAAAAGTTCTGAGTTTTAAAGAAACTTTGGCTGGGTGCATCATCTCCTCTAAGTCAGATTGATTGGTTTTATTTCTGCCCTTTGATAGTTCAAGGGAACGTCTTCCATTACTCTGGAAGTTGGTCGGGGGAAAGGATTCCAATTTTAATTAATAGGGCAGTGAGTTAATCTCATGCTCTCTCTTGCTTCTAGACATCTTAGAGAAGACAAATGGTCTTCAAAGATAAGGAAAAACTATTAATGATGAAAGAACACAGGGACATTTTTATTACAGATTTGATTTTTTTTTTAATAATGCTGTAAAAATAGAAATAGGGCCTCAGAGCCGCCATTTTTTCGCCCATAAGTAGGCAGACAAGTGGCCAGCACTCATTCTTATCTCCCTCCCGTTGGGAGAGGTTACTTCACACGCTACAAAGAAAGAGAAGCTGGACTCTATTGTAGGAAGTGAGATCAGCTGTGTAGGTCTCTCATTTCCCAGGACACTTCTGCTTCAAAGTCCCTCCTCTCCCTCCTTACCTCAAGGCTGACATTTTAGGCAAAAGAGGAAAAGGAAGAGTGGGCTGTAAAGGTCAGTGTGTGGTGTTCAGAGTCGCTGTAAACTGGAAAGGCCGTGGGGCTTGGGGGTTGTGGCTGGTTTTTTGTTTTTGGTTTTTTTAATTTTTATACTCTCGAATAAACTTGCAGTTTCACTCTTGCTAATGGTACTGGTGCCTCTTGATCTCCTTTCCACTCTCTAGGGATATGTACTGGATCATGACCAATAAATCGTTCCTGCCTGTGCCTGCTCGTCTCCTCCGAGCATTTGTAATGACTTCATTTCTGAAACTCTTTGCACACAAAACAAAAAAGAAAGGAATAGTCCTGAGATGAGAATATATCAATATGCAGAGTAAACGGCTGATTGTCTCCTCACTGTCTTTCTTATGGGGCCTATAATTTTCTTCTTTAAGACACAAGAGGGTCTTAACCACACAATAGTTACAATACTCTGCCTCTGCAACCTACATTAAGCAAGACACTAACTTCGATGGGCCTCAGAGCTTATGTGACCTCTAAGGTGCCCTCTAGATCAATGACCCTACACAAAGCAGAGGACGAAGAACTGAACTGGGAGTCATAAGGCCTGGGTTTGAATCCCAGCTCTCATTTACCACTGGTGTGACCTGGGGCCACCCATGCCTTTAAGCGTCCACACTGCCAATGCCATCTCCTCCATGAAACCCTTCCTGATCCTACCAGTGCCTCCCAACTCCGAAATAGCCTCCTGTTTACTCTTGTATTTCCTATGGATGTGTCTGGTATATTCTTATATGTGGATGTACTATCCACACATTGGCATAGATGACCTCTGCAGGTCCCTTCGAGCATGGACAGCCAGCAGTGATAGCCAGCAAAGGGCTTTGCATATGCCATTGAATTTGGCCTTCACAACAACCCTGGGAGGAAGGTGCTGTTTATTATTATCCTCATCTTACAGATGAGGAAACACGGGTAAACAAAGGCTAAGTGATTTGCCTAGGGTCACACAGCTAGTGAGTGTCTGAGGCTAGATTTGAACTCAGGTCTTCCTGACTCCACGTCCAGTTCTTTATCTATTAGGCCACCTAGCTACAATAAATCTGTAATCCTAAGAAGTTTGTATTTATGTGATATTTTCCTGGTTTGCCATATAATAATAACAATAATAGCAGCTAGCATTTCTATAGCTCTTTAAAGGCTTACAGTGCACTTTACAGATATCTCATTTGATCTTCACAACAACCCTGGGATTTAGGAGGTGCTATTATTATCCCAGTTTTATAGATGAGGAAGCTGAGGCAAACTGACAATGAGTTATCCAAGGTCACACAGCTAGGAAGTGTCTGAGGCTAGACTTGAACTCAGGTCTTCCAGAGTTCCTGGC